ACTTCTGCATAATGTAAACCATCTCCCTCAAAATTGAAACTGATTGGAACCTTGGAACATCCTTGGAATAAAAAACATTAAGGGATAGTGGAAGGGAAAAACTGTAACAATCCACAATTATCACCAACGTGACCCCCCAATACTGATGGAGTATAAATGAGAGAGGAATATAGACATCTGTAATACACGCTTGAAGACTTATATTGATTGGTTCTACTCTAACTCCAAAACCCAGCCACTGGGAACCGACATTCATGTAGGGGTAGGATGAGGGATCCCAATCAAAGGGGTCAAATGCAATTTTGATGTCTCACTCCCCTTTGCTTTTATGTTTCACATTGGAAGTAATCACGCCATCTACACCAGTAGAACACCACCACCCTTCTCTACACTGAATGGTTTTATAATAATTTCTATTTTTGTTTGTATTTCATTAACCCATTAAGGAGGATGCCTCTACATTCCACCACCCCAGTGGCTTGGAACTGGAAAGTGGTAAGAACCCTCAAACTCCACTAGAAGAAAAGGGGTAAAATGCGGTGAAGAGTCTGGAGGAACAACAACATGAGACAGTGCAATGGGTGACCACAAAACCCTATTTTCAAAAGCAGACCATATCATTTATTCATTACAAGGCATGGCAGGGACGGGAAACTATCACCTTCTGCTTTACTCATGAAATCCATAGGTGGGTACGGTCTGGGATGGGTAAACTTATAAAACAATCCTATTGTGAGGATAAACCTACAAGTGATCTTGTGGAACACCCCATCTCTGCAGTGTGTGTGTTGCGTGGCCAAGCAATTATAGTATTGACATGGCTTGACAGTGTAGATTTGAACAGTTAAAGAATACCTGGTCAGGCACAACTTGCCACAGAGCGAGATCCAAACAATGAGCATTAATAAAAGGGAAAAGGGCCCCTGAAAAGGAAAAATAAGAAAAAACTTACCCAGTCAAAGTTTCAATGAATTCTGATATTCTAGATTGGCTACAGAAATGATAACTCGCATAGGAACAAAATAACTATCCAATGCAAATAGTGAGAGACGAAAGTATCATGGGTTTCACATCCCTTATTGAAGAAGTACATCCAAAGGACGATGAAGATGAAATGCCAGTGAAAAAATAAAGTGTCAAATTGGGTGAGAAGACACGCAGAACAAAGTATGGGAGGAAGACAATAAAGAGGAGAGAATGAATCAAATGAAGAGCAGAACCAAACTGGCAAAGGAGGAAGGAGAAAGAACACGAATAGAAGACAGTTGCCAAGGAAGAAAGAGGCGGGAATGGACACCAAAGAAGGAAGCCATGCAGACAATATAAATGAGAAGAGCACGTACAGGATATAGAAGTCTAATAGATCAGAATGAATATAAAGGTGTGAAACGAAAGGAAGGGAAAGCAGCTAAACAGAGAAGTTATCTTCACGAACTGGGGAAAGTGTTATGAAGGAAAAATGATCCAGAGAAAGGAGAAGATATGTAGAAATATAAAGAGTACATGAAACATCGATGGCAAATAAACAGACCACTGACATCCACAGGCAAATAGGAGAAGAAAGAAAAAAAAGGGTAGGTGAAACAAGGAGCACTGAGAGAGTGGTTCAAACGTAGGAAAAGTGAGGCAGTGCAGGACCACAATAATATCTCCATCCAGTAGGGCAGTCAACCACGGCTGCTGACAAATCAACAGATAAAGTGTAAGAGAAGTAAATACCTACCACATCAGGAAAAATTAAAGGTGTGGGAGAGGCCTGCCTGAAAATCTGAGACTGAGGAGACAGAAGATCCCTGATCCAAAAGTCAAGAGAGGAAACCTACAAAACTAAGGACAGTGGGTTGATCAGGGGAAAACCCTGGAGCCAGAGACCAACAATGGAAAACTTTCATGTAGGAAGGGCAAATAAAACAAGACAGAAAAAAGGCTAACCATTAGGAGAAGCTGGATCTCCTCACCAATGACCAGAGGAAAACCAGGCATGAAGATGAAGGACAGAAAGGTCTGGATGAAACACCAGTGACTGAGGGTGGTGATGAAGGGATGAAGACAGAGGAAAAGGTAAAGGAGGAAAAAATGAAGCTGGAGAAGGTGCAGAAACCACAGCTGAGATGGCCAGGAAAGAGCTATCAGAAGGATGAACAAAATCACCTGGAGAAGAAGGAGAATGAGAGGATAGACAAATGTGTATGTCCAATCTTGGCTGAAAACATTGATAGCCAGAGCAAAAAGACAAGGAACTGGAGACCAAAACCAAGGTAATTTGTAGTTAAGGGACGTAGCAAAAGCCTCAATGTGAGGAGTACCCCACTGAAGACAAAGTCACTGGAAAACAAACGGATCGAGAGACCACTCCATCGGACAAATGTTGTATGTAGAAGAATCCAATCCATGATAAGATTAAATGCACTTGGAACATGACACAGAAAGATGGGAATATTGAGCATGCCCAAAAAGAAGATCCAACATATGAATAGAAAGGAATGGAGAATGGGTGCCAACCTGGTGATTGAGATAAGTAACCACTAAAGACAAGTCGGAATGGATCATTTCTGTCCAGATGGAGAAAATGAACAAAAACATAACCTAGAGAGAGAAGCTCCAGAACAATGATAAAATAAGACCTCTTGGTCACAGACCAAAACCCCCAAATCTTCCAGTTGATCAACCCACACCTCATTTCCAAAAGGATGTGCCCATGAAATGTGGAAAACCAGATGAGAAGGAGGAAGTTGGAGACCTGCCAATGTGTGAGTCATATCTAACCACCAATGCCAATCGACAACAAGGATAGGACGAAGGGTAATAAGAGCTGACAAAGGATCCCGGCAAAATTCCACTGGTTGTGAAAAGCCCATGAATGCTTGACAAAACATACAGTGCCAAAGCAAGTCTGAAGGGCAGTGTGTGAAACAGAGAAACCACCATGTGGAGAATAATGCAAATAATTATTCCTGACATTCCTCTTTGTCATCGATAAACCTGGAGAAAAAGCCCACCTAAGGGTGATATATGACTTCAAGGTAAAACAGGGCAGATTGAAAATTAGAATGAGGCAGGGCAAATCTAGTACAGGCCACCATTCTCCAGTTTAGTGTGAGGACAACAAACAGCCTGGAATAAAAGCCCGTAGAAAGATGAAAATGGCCCATGATGACAGAACATCTTGTACCTCCTCGAACAGATGCAGGGTGGTGGCAGGATCTGAAATCATGAGGAAGGAAAATGGTACCAGGGACAAAGGAGGTGGGGAAAGAAATAATAGGACAAGCCCATCAAATAAAATTTGAAGAACCTGTGGAACTGTATTGAAAGATTGCCAGAGGGTAACAATATAATCTAGTCGAGCTCCCACTGGACCAGAACCCTCTGGTTAGTTTATGGTACTATTGGCAACATGCCCATTAACACTGAATAAAACAATGAGATGAGAAACCCCTGGAAGGGGGACAGGGATGGATAGATAAGGACCAGGACAGGAAAGGAATAGGGGCATGTTGTGGCTCCAACTGTGACAAACGTGCAACCAGAGAGGAAATGGTAGAGTGTTGATGCACATATTACACACGAGATTCCAAAATTTCAGATCATGATTGAAAACATAACACCAAGAAAAAATACAGAAATTCTGAAAAGAAAGAGGTGGCAAACATACCCAGGACGAGGTCGCATTGCGACCCTGAAAATCCCAACTACGGAGGTAATAAAGAATCATAGAAAAACGTGGAACAGGATAAAACATAACATACCTGAGAAATGATGTCGAAAAATGCCATATTAGGCCTAGCTGATTCTGCAGGAGGGGTAGGAAAAATATGGCAAAATCCGGTGGTGTAAAAAGGCTACCAAATCTTCATCAGCCTAAACAGGTTGAGCTTGTTCAGGAGGATTAATGGAACACGTTCAAGAGAAGAAAGTTGACCCATATAACGATCAGTCTCATGATGGATAATAGCCAAGAAATCCAATGACGGGTCTCCCCCACCTGCAGCCTGTGAAAATAGTGCTAGAGGTATAACACTCAAAGTGGGAACATGAACCTCAGAATTAATTGAAGAAATAAGTAAGTCAAACCAAAGAGTTTGATGTAAAATAGGCGAGTGTGAGAAAAAAAAAAGACCAGGAAATTAAGATAAAAGATTTCTTCAATGTAAAAAAAAAAATAATAATGAAGAAATACCATTTCAGAAATTAGACTGTTAAAATCACGATTCACAGCACCAAAAGAAAAAAACGTCTGAACACGAGTACTGCCAAATGAGAAGTGATAGTTCAGTAATAGAGAGAGTTATAAGCATCATGAGAGTATTTAACACTCTTATTGGTGGAGATTTGACTCATGATCTGCATGAGAGATGCATTGGAATCATTCAATTCCAATGAAGATAGAAGGCTTGTGGTATGTGTAAAACTAGTTTTTGCATAAGGAGTGTCCTTGTTATTTGTTTGTTTTTAATTAATCACAAAGCTACACAATGGGCTATCTGTGCTCTGCCCACCATGGGTATCGAAACCCAGTTTCTAGCATTGCAAGTCCACAGACATACTGCTGTGTCACTGGGGGGCTGGAAGACAGCACTGAATGAAAATAGCTATTTATGTGAGAGGAGATAATGTACTGTATGGGAAAGTTAATATTAATAATTGAAATCAGATACTACACTGTTGAGTTTACCAAGTGTTTAGAAATATAATATATATATATTTGAAATATTAAACAAAAGAGAATAAAAGAAAGTTGATTGGGTCTTTGATGGCTGCTAGATTGTCAAAACCTTAAAGTTACTTATTCAGATCACTTATTTTCTGTAAAGTCACTGGTCAAACATGTATAACAACTACACAGAAAAGTTTTACTTTAATATTTAACCAAGAGGTGATCTTATTTATTTTGTAAAAAAAAGAATAAAGAAATGTACAATAAAGTTTTTCCCACATACTACAATACCTTATTCCAAATAACCTTGTATATACAGTATAATAAACATGCATAGAAAGAAAACATTTCATCATGGTTTCTTTTTATTTATTCAGTATTAATATCATTACAGTTGTCTTATTTTTCACTAACGAATTGTACCTGGATTATTAATACAAAAGTTTTAGCATGAATATTTATATATGTTTATGTATTCACAACCACTGTTACTAAAGATTTATATGGTAAAAAAAGGCCCACTTCAAACCAAGAAAACAAATACCATTTTATATGAACAAATCCCATGGATTAAGAAAAGCAAAAAAAAAGTATCTAAAAATCATTAAAATTTAAGTAATAAAAAATCTGTAGTTTACCAAATTTGAGTTTCGATACATTATTATGTAAAGCATAAATATTTAGAAAAATAAAACTTTAATATGACATTTTAGTAAAGTATTTTTAAAAATGGTCTTCTACATTTGTTGAGTAAATGCTTGGTTCATAAACTACTTCATTAAAATATTATGATTTAGAATTCCTTTATTTTTTTAGAATGCTTCTCAACTTCTCAACAAATGTAGAAAAAGGTGGTGATATTTCTTTTCATTCATATAGCTTATATTTTTTAATCAAGGGTACAAGCATACAAGCATGGTTTTGTATTGTTAACCCACGTTATTCCACAGTCACAGATTTGGCCAAGTTTCTGGGACAGTCAACCTACAAAAAAAGACAACAGACATATTAAAATAAATATAAAAATATCAAATATTTGAATATTACAATATGTTTTATCAATACTTAAAGCTTTGAAGATTTATGATAAAGTCTGTATATAGAATAGGCAAGTGTTTTCCTCTACTTTATTTTTATCTGATTAAAAATCACTGATTAGATTATGCTTCCCAGGGGCACAGGTGGAGGATATAACTGACAGAGCACGAGATATAATAAAGGGGGCTAGCAATGATTCAGTTTTTGTGGTGCATGTAGGGGCTAATGATGTAGGGAGAGGTAGGTAAGAGGAGCTGATTAATAAGTACAAAAGGTTGATAAAGACATTTAAAGAACAGGGCCATAACTGTGTCAGGAATACTGCCGAGAATTAATTGTGGGGATGACATTATGAGTAGGTCAGTAGGGCTAAATGCCAGGCTTAAGTTAATATGTAAGGATGAGCAGATAAGCTGTTTGGACTTGTGGAATCAGTTCAATGAGAGAAGGGAGCATTTTGGAATGGATGGTTTACATTTAAATAGGGTAGGTTCTGGCTTGTTTGCAAGGGCTATTAACTCAGCTGTAAGGGAAGATTAAAACTAGGATTAGACAGTGGTAAGGGCCAGGATAAAATGAATGCCAAAAAATAAGATGTGCAGAAATATAAAAGTTAGCATTGGAAAGCAGTATATAAGTATTTCTAAGGATAGGATTAATTGTTACTATTGTAATGTCATAAGTATAAGAAATAAAATAGATGACCTCAGGGCACTGGTAGGAAAGGAAGATTTTGATATAATGGGAATACCTGAAACATTGTTAAAAGTAGACAATTTTGATGACAGACATTTCTTTGAAATGCAAGGTTATAGGTTATTTAACAGGGATAGAGTATTAAAGAGAGGGGGCTTCATATTTAAAATGTGAGTTAGATCCTGCTGAAGTTCAGGATATCAAAAATAATAGCAAGATGATAAAAATCCTATAATCCAAGCTCTTTCGAAAAGGTGGACCTTTCTTCTTCAGAAGCAAACACTTTATCCTCTAATATGCATAAGCCTTCTCAAACTAACAACTCTGTTGAAAATAACAGTGACTTTATGAATCGTACATGTAATGATGAACACTCCCCACATATCTCTAACATATATCTAAAGATGTTGGCATATTTAGGAATGTGGTTTGTGTATTTTTGGTAAGAGATAAAATCTAACAGGAAAAGTTTGTCTGGGTATCAAATACTGAAAAGTTTCTTTGGGTATCAGTTTGTGTTTAGATTAGTGATTTAATAAGTTTCTCACCTTTAGTTTAGAATCCTGTTTCAATACCAATGAGAGTAACATCGTTAATGGAATACCCAGGGCAGGGTTTGTTTTAGAACCTTGGTGTGTTTTCTGTTGTCTAGTTCATCTGAGCATATTTTCTATATTCTAAGGGCTTGACTGTAGGTAATGTTCCATTTAGTGTGAGCAGGGTGCCAGCTGAAGGTATTGTGGTCTGTCTGTAAAAGATGGTTTTTCAATATGACCCATTTTAAAGTTTCTTTGGTTGTGCTTGTCAGAAAATAAGTCAGTAGTTTTATGAACTTACAGGTTTGACAACGTATTTTATTGCATGGATGACAACCATTTTTTGGTGGTTGTAAGTCACTTTTGTGTGAACAAGGATATCTTTTAGAGTTCTGCTTATTCAGACATATGGGGCTCATTTGCCTCTTTCTCCCTTATGTTCTGGGCAAAGAGTTATGCCCTTAAGGAGATGAGATGTGATTTCCAACAGTTGTGCCCTTATGGAGTCCTTGCCATTGGGTGTTACACTCCATGGGCTTCTTTCAGGTATTTTCTGAAGGGAGCTCATTTAGGTAAAGTTTATACTAGCCCCTCCATGTGGGATTCTAGCTAAACTGTGTACAGAGATGAGTTATCCTCTCAGAAGTTAACATTTACCTTATCTGAAAAGGTATTTTCAGTAGATACTCACCTCCTGACATATTTTCACACACCCTCCCCACTTTCAGTGCACTTTTTTTGGTTTGTCTCATCAAAGAATGAAGTTATAACAAGTGCAAATGTATAGGGGGAGTTTTTGAGCATGGAGGTGTGTTTCCCTCCTATTAGTGGAGGGCTTTTGTTGCACAATGATGTCATCATGCAGCAGCATAATTCACATTAAATCGCATTAAATTATGAGGAGTTACCTCGTAGCTAGTGGCATGCAAATCACTACCAGATGTCTGAGAAAAATAGCTAAACTTGTGTGTAGTTGAGTATTGGAAATACATTTATGGATAAGGAAAATGTTAACTTTTGCAATATTTAAAGTTTTATGTTTAAAATCGACTTTCAAGTCAATTTAATCAGTATATAGCATACATATTTAAGTATAATCAATACATAACTTATATACATGAATGTAATCAGTATATATGTCTTAATTGAGTAGCTAACAAAATTTGAAACTTCGTTAAATGATGTTGCTAACCAGACTTTCAAAACTTTTCCACCACTGATGTATGACTAATACGCTGGGACAATTTCTATCATCTCCCTTGCAAAGAGGAGTAACATTAGCAAATATATATTCTTCTGGCACCTGCCTGTTATTGAAAGACTCAGAAAAAATAGCAACAAGTGGCTCACATATCCAATCTTTAACCTCCTTCAAAACTATTGGGCAAATATTATCTGACCCAGGAGCTTTATCATTCTTTAAACTTCCCAATTTTTCTTAACAAGCTGAGAATTAATGCAGTCATCTGGTTCAATCTTATTTCTATCTATAAGCTGTTTAAGATGTGGAATACTTCTTAAATCTTCATTAGTAAAAACTGTAGAAAAAAACAATTGAATAACCCAGCCATCTCATAATCATCAGATACAAGCCTTCTTTTATACCCTACCCCCATCCAACATTTTTGTTTACTCATAATGTATTTAAAGAAATCCTTACTGTTAATTTTTACATTTTCAGCCAAACTTTTCTCATACATCCTTTTTGATGACCTAATTTCCTGTTTCACCAACTTTCTTGATCTTCTATAATCTTTTAAATCTCCTTTCATACCAGTCAATTTACATTTCTTCAATTTGTTATGTTTTACTTGAATTTTATCTCTTAAACTCTTTCCGAGCCATCATGGCTTTTTACTTGTAGCTATCCTTTTCTTTCTATAAGGAATATATTTACCTTGAATATTTAAAATATTTTCATATCTGATCAGTGTCTCCAAATAACTCAGCTGCTCAATTCACAACAGATAATTCTTGTTGCATCCCTTCAAAATCTGCTTTTGTGAGATTTGTAACCAAAATATCATTATTCCTTATGTCCATATCAGGCAAAACATCGAACCTAATAGAGCAATGATCGTTTGCACCAAGATGTTCCCCAAATTCCACCTTCCCGATCATTTCTATATTTGAAGTTAACAATAAATCTAAAATAGCATTGTTTCTAGTAGGTTCCTTGACTAA